CATCTTAGAAAGAAATCATATTCCTTGCACTTTTCTGGAAACTTTTACTGCCTAAACCTACATTTTCAAACCCTACTTCTAGCAACATGTTCGAATACATAGTTTTCTAACTGATCTGTTATGCTCTGATCTGATCCACAATCGAAATTTGCGGGAAAATTTGCCCGGCACTGGGTACATCTCGGCACTTCTTGAGAACTTTTGCCAGCGATGGTTGTTCCAGAACATTCCTAAAGCTTCCCCTTTCTTTTTATCTTCTTCTTCATTTCACTTTTCTTCCATCTTCGGTCATGATCCTATAACTTCGGTTATGTTATCGGGGTGGAATCCAACAAGAATGCTAATTATTGTCCAAAGATTTCTCGATTTCAGATGTGGTGTGTGGTTTTGCTTCTATTCGGATTTCTTCGACAATCATTAGGCGCGCCAACCGAGGTAAGCTCACTAATAACCAAGTTAACCAAGTTATCAAAGTCTGGGGTAAGTTTCCGAAGTGTTCACATAATTATACTTGGTGAGGCATTGGTTTACAATAGTTCACTGTACAGTAATTATACGCTATACCAAATATTTTTTGGACAGTTAAAATTTTTGAGGATTTATAGAACTCATAAAAATCACAAATATGGACGAATATTGTTATAGAAGCCAATCCTCCTCTTCTCATGTCCACGAGATGCAGAATGCTATGCTCATCCTAAAAATTGTGTTGATAACTGCAATGCAGCTTTTAGTGTGAGTACCTATGTAAATTGTGGTTATTGATCTTTCCAAATAAGACACTTTTTAGATGCGATCTGATCTGTCTAAAAACACTACAACATTCAACATTGCTATGATGTCTGGTCTTGGATATGTCGCTGTGCTGGTCAAGAACAAGGTGTGATTGGAAGCTAAAATTCTCTACGGGGAAAAATTTTGAGGATTTTTAGGGTGCAAGAAACTACGAGCAAGCTTATATTTGTTCCTTCCATCAGCCAAAAGGCATAGCTGCAAGAATCCGACAAGGAGAGCCAATCGTTGTCCATGAGGTGGGTCATGACTCAAATTTTTGAAGGGGTGGGGTGGAATTTATCTTCATTGGCAGCAATCAAATGGGTTAGGCAAGAAGTGGTGATTTCGAGATAATTTGAACAGTAGAGAGGGGAGGAAATATAACTCCGAAAAATTCATAAAAAATGGCCGATCAATTCTTTTCACCCCTTCAAAACTCACGATGAAATTCAAATTTCACCTGGAGTATGCTGTCCCTACACCTGCTTAGTCTTAGGAGTTTTTATTGAGGGGGA